CTCAGTCGGACATCCCTGAGGGCTCCTGGACTGCGAGAGGGCACAGGCTTGGCTGAGGAATCCCCCCCCCCCCCCCCGAGTGCATGAATTTCATGCATGGGGCCTCTATTATTTCATAAAAGTGGTTTGCATTAATTTACCTAATATGTCCATGTTATTCCATATAGCTGTACAAAATTTTATAATTTTCCACCACTATATATAACTATGACAAAAATATTCTTCTATGATATACTTTTTCTCATTTAAAAATTATTTCACAAGAACATATTTCCTGGAAAATATAAAGTGAGTGTTAATTAGTTTGAAATATAATCTAACAAGTTTGCCTACTGTTTTATATTTTTTCAATTTGTTCCTTGTTTATTTTCTCTTTCCTTTCCCTCTCTGTGTTTAATTGAACATGTCTTTGTTTAAAGTATTACATGTCTCCTTTTTTCCCCAATTAACACCACCCCGGCCACTTCCGCCCCCAAGGGAAAGCCCACACCGCCCCAGTGTCTGTGCCCATTGGTCATGCTAATAAGCATGCATGCACATCCTTTGGTTAATCTCTAACCCTCCCACCCTCTCTCCCCAAATCCTTGCCAGCACTTGTTGTGTGTTGATTTGTTGATGATAGCCATTCTGACAGGTGTGAGATGGTACCTTATTGTAGTTTTGATTTGCATCTCTCGGATGATTAGTGACTTTGAGCATGTTTTCGTATGTCTCTCATCCTTCTGTAAGTCCTCTTTCAAAAAGTGTCTACTTAGGTCCATTGCCATATTTTGATTGGATTGTTTATCTGCCTTTTGTTAAATTGTATGAGTTCCCTGTAAATTTTGGAGATTAAACCTGTATCTGAAAAAGAATTGGCAAATATATTCTCCCATGCAGTGGACTTTCTTGTTGTTTTGTTGATGGTTTCCTTTGCTGTGCAGAAGCTTTCTATTTTGATGTAGTCCCATTTGTTTGTTTTTTCCTTAGTTCCCATTGCCCTAGAAGCTGTATCGGTAAAGATATTGCTATGGCATATGTCTTATATTTTGCTGCCTATGAAGTCTTCTAAGATTTTTATGGTTTCCCATCTTACATTTAAATCCTGTAACCATTTTGAGTTTGTTTTTGTATATGGTGTAAGTTGGTTATCTAGTTTCATTTTTTTACATGTATCTGACCAATTTTCTCAGCACCATTTATTAAAGAGACTGTCTTGACTCTATTGTATGCTCTTGCCTCCTTTGTCAAATATTAATTGAGCATAATGGCTTGGGTCGGTTTATGGGTTCTCTTTTCTGTTCCATTGGTCTATATGTCTGTTCTTGTGCCAGTACCAGGCAGTTTTGAGAACTGTGGCTTTGTAATATAGCTTGATATCTGGTATTGTGATCCTTCTAACTTTGTTCTTCTTTGTCAGGATTGCTGTGGCTATTCAGGGTATTTTTTTAATTCCATATGAATTTTTAGAGAGTTTGTTCCAAGTCTGTGAAATATGCCATTGGTTTTTTAATGGGAATTGCATTAAATCTATAAATTGCTTTGGGTAGGATATTTCAATGATGTTGATTCTACCAACCCATGAATATGGTATGTTCTTCCATTTGTTTATGTCTTCATCTATCTCTTTTTTCAATGTCCTGTAGTTTTCCAAGTACAGGTCTTTTACCTCCTTAGTTAAGCTTATTCCTAAGTAGTATCTTAATTTTTTTTTGGTGCAATGGTAAAAGGGATTTTTTTTTTTTAGTTTCTCTTTCTGTGAGTTCATTGTTGGTGTATAAAAAGTCATAGATTTCTGGGTGTTGATTTTGTATCCTGCTACATTGCTGAATTCATTCATTAAGTCTAGTAGTTTTTTTATGGAGTCCTTGGGGTTTTCTATGTACAGTATCATGTCATCTGCGAATAAGGACAGTTTAATTCTTCTTTTCCAATTTGGATGCCTTTCATTTCTTCTTCTTCTCTGATTGTTATGGCTACCACTTCCAGTACTATGTCAAAGAGGAGTGGTGAAAGTGGGCATCCCTGTCTTGGTCCTGTTCTTGGGAAAAAATGAATTTAGTTTTTGCCCATTGAATATGATGTTAGCTGTAGGTTTGTCATATAAGGCTTTTATTATGTTGAGGTATGATCCCTCTATTCCTACTTTGTTGAGAGGTTTTATCAAGAAACGGTGTTGGATTTTTGTCAAATGCTTTTTCTGCATCGATTGATATGATTGTGTGATTTTTGTCTCTCAATTTGTTTATGTGATGTATCACATTTATTGATTTGCACATATTGCACCATCCTTGCAACCCTGGAGTAAATCCCACTTGGTCATGGTGTATGATCTTTCTAATGTAATGCTGGATCCAATTTGCTAGAATTTTGTTGAGAATTTTAGCATCTATGTTCATCAAATATATTGGCCTGTAATTATCTTTCTTTGTGGTGTCTTTACCTGGTTTTGAAAATAGGGTTATGCTGGCTTCAGAGAAAGAGCTTGGAAGTGTGCCTTCCTATTGAATTTTTTGGAATAGTCTGAGGAGGATAGATTTTAGTTTAGTTCTTCTTTGAATGCTTGGTAGAACTCCTCTGTAAAACCATCCAGACCAGGGCTTTTGTTTGCTGGAAGATTTTTGATTACTGCTTCAATTTCTATGGTAGTTATCAGCCTACTAAGATTTTTTTATTCTTCCTGACTGAGTTCTGGAAGCTTGTATTTTTCTAAGAATATGTCCATTTTGTCTAGGTTGTCCAGTTTGTTGGAATACAGTTGTCCATATTATTTTTTTCACAATCCTTTGTATTTCTGTGGGGTCAGTTGTTACTTTACCTCTTTAATTTCTGATTTTGTTTATTTGGGTTCTCTCTCTTTGCTTCTTGGTGAGCCTGGCTAGAAGTTAATCAATCTGTTTATCCTTTCAGAGAACCAGCTCTTTGTTTTATTGATCTTTTGCATTGATTTTTTGGTCTCTATGTCATTTATTTCTGCTCGGATCTTTCTTGTTTCCTTCCTTCTGCTTACTCTTGGCTTTTCTTTTTGCTCTATTTCTAATTCTTTGAGTTGCAGGGTTGAAAAGTTTGTTATCATTTTTCTTATTTTTTGAGGTAGGCCTGTAGAGATATGAACTTTCCTCTCAAGACTGCTTTCACCATGTCCCATAGATTTCGGATTGTTGTGTTTTCATTGTTTTTTTTTTGTTGTTGTTGTTGTTGCCAGGATGTTTTTTTATTTCTTCTTTGATCTCTTTGGCAATCCAATCGTTGTTTAATAGCATGCTATTTAACCTCTAAGTGTTTGATTTTTTTCATTGTTTTATTGTAGCGAATTAAGTGTTTGATTTTCATTGTTTTATTGTAGCGAATTTCTAATTTTATGCCATTGTGATCTGAGAAGATGCTTGATATAATTTCTATCTTCTTCTATTTGAAGAGATTTTGCCTGTGTCCCAATATGTGGTCTATCTTTAAAAATGTCCCGTGTGCACTTGAGAAGAACGTATATTGTGTAATTTGGGGTGAAGTGTTCTGAAGATGTCAATTAAGTCCATCTAATCTAGTGAATCATTTAGGATTGATGTTTCTTTGCAGATTTTTTGTTTAGAGGACTTATCCAGTGGTTTCAATGGGGTATTAACCCTTTGCGGTCGTTTGTCTACTCTCAGCCACCAAAGCTTTTTTACTGTTCCAGTCGTATGTCTGCTCTCAGCCACCACAGCAAGGAACCGTACGAATCTTAACTCTATTCATTCATGTATCAGTTCATAATTTCTCTGAAAGCTCTTAAGTGTCTAAGCGACCTTGTCACGAACCAAAACATTGCCCCGACAAATCGGAGATATCGAAACTCAATATAAACAAACG